GCGCACGCAGGGGCCCTGGGCTGCGTCACCCGCGTCACGGGTGCTGGCGGCCTGTAAACACAGCCGCGATGGGCCGGTACAGCATGTTCTGTGCCAACACAGCCAGGCCCCGCTCGGGATCATCCCACTGGTGCCACGGGGAAGAGGACGTCGAGGCAGCCCAGGGGACGGGGACACGGCTCTCCCGGAGCCTCCGGAGCAGGGACGCAGCCTCCTCCGCCCACCAGCGGATTTGCGGCTCCACCAGCCCTGCTCCCAAGCCGGCAAAGATCCCGAAGCAGATTATCCCCAATCCCTTTAGAAGCACCTAGAAGATAATAGAGCGATAAAGAGCTGGCTCGGATTTGCTTGGGATGAGCAGAGCCACAGCAATCCGCTTCCCTCGGCGGCCGAGGAGTCAGCGACACGGAGCGGGAAGGGTGATGCCAGGGGGCATCGCGGGTGCTGAAGGGACAGGATGGGCCCCAAAATGCGGGCGCTCGCTCTGGGCACCCATTGCGAGGGCAACAGAGCAGGCAGAGGGAGATATTTGATACCGCTGCCAAGAAATAACGTGAAATAAGCCATGCGGCCGGCACGGCGCGCGGCCAGCGAGGGCCCGGAGCGGGAGCAGCGTGGGGACAGCGCCGTCCCCAGCGCCGGCTGGAGCAGGAGGCGCCGGGCGAGGGCGGCCCCGGCATGGGCCACCCAAGAGCAACAAGTGGAGGAAGCCGGGCGGAACGGGGGGTGCCAAGCGGCAGGCCCCCGCATATGATTGAAGCCGAAGCCGGCGCTGCTCAAATATTTGCTTGGAACGGAGCAAGGGGCAGAGCTCGGCGCTGCTGCGGGCACCGTGCGGCCCACGGGCTTCCTGGCCCCGCCGCTCGGAAGCGGCCGCCTGGCCCTGCGCCCGGGGAGGAAACTTGGCTTTTCCCGGCCGTCTCTCCCAGCTCCCGGCTGCCGCGGGACCCACCTGCACCTCGCGCGTGTGGCAGGCGACGATGAGCCCCAGCAGGAACCCCCCGGAGGGCCTGGAGAC